GAAATAGTTTTTAAAGTGTTAAATCATTTCTCTGAGTGATTTAACCTGAAAACAGATAAGCTGCTCGGTTCTTATTAAAACAAAATAGTAGCTAACCAACCTCAATCCCATCATTTCCCTGGTCCCCTGCAGAATCCCCATGAGATCCCCACCAGTACTGTTAACTGGTGAAACCATAGTGCTCCTCAGACAACCACTGACAATTCCTCCACTATTACAGTACTATGGCTAAATCCTCATAGTCCTAGTAGGATAGCATAATAGAAATGCATAAAATTTAGAGTCAGAAGATTTGGGAACTATTTACAACTTTACTATTCTAATAGCTGCATTTGATTTTTTTTTTTTTTTTTTTTTTTTTTGATAGGAGTCTCGCTCTGTCGCCCAGGCTGGAGTGCAATGGTGCGATCTCGGCTCACTGCAACCTCCACCTCTTGGGTTCAAGTGATTCTCCTGCCTCAGCCTCCTGAGTAGCTAGGATTACAGGTGCCTGCCACCATGCCTGGCTAATTTTTGTATTTGTAGTAGAGATGGGGTTTCACCATGTTGCTCAGGTGGGTGCATTTGATTTTTATAGGGCTAACCAAATTTGTAACTAACAGTAATTCATTGAGACAATAACAGAAAGGGCTAAGATAATAAATGGAACACCACTTTTTACACAGTAAAATCATCTTTAAATATTAGATTCTTTTTTTCTCTTTTTTTTTTCTTTCTTTTTTTTCTCAAGATGGAGTCTTGCTCTGTCACCCAGGCTGGATTGCAATGATGTGATCTCAGCTCACTGCATCCTCTGCCTCCTGGGTTCAAGTGATTCTCTTGCCTCAGCCTCTCGAGTAGCTGGGATTACAGGCATGAGCCAACACACCCAGCCAGATTTTTTTCTTTTTGTAACATGGCATTTTGTATACAACAAACATGGTCCACTAGTAAATTCATGACGTTTCTCCCCAAATCAGTTCCTTCAGTAGTATCCCTTGTCAGTGATGATAACATTGTTTATCCAATCATCGGATGAGAAACCTTGGAATCATCAGTCATTCAGCCTCATCTTTCCTTGCAGATCAATCAAATGTCCTGAAATTAACTTCTTTAATATATTTTAAACCCATCATTTCTGCTGATACCTCTCTAGTCTATAACATTATCTTTCAGATGAATTAATACAATGAACTCTTCATTATCTTTCCTAAATATGCTGTTTTCCCACCCCCTGCCAAGTCTGTGGTCCATACAGCTACTATCTTAACAAAATCTAAATTAGGTGATGTTATTCCCATGCTTAAATCTTTTGTTTCTAATATTTTAATGTGTATTGAAGCCACTTGGGAATATTGCTAAAGTGATCTTGATTTAACAACTCTGGGATTGAGTCTGAGACTTTATATTTCTAGCAAATTCCCAGATGATGCCTGTGCTGTTACTGCATGCATGGTACTTTGAATAGCAAGGACTAGATGATTCCCATCTACACTGGAATAAATATTAAAACCTGTCCATGGTCTATAAATTCATACATGATCTCCTACTTGCCTTTAAATATCATATCATCTCTTTCCACTTTCCTTCTCAGTCTCTACATTCTGACCCTTCTTTTGGTTCCGTGAAGGCAGGAAGCTAATTTCCGCCTCAGAGTCTTGGCACAAGTTCTCCCATCTGTTTGGAATACCACACCTCCTACCCAATACTCACCCCTGCCCAGGCAATTTCCACTCAAGTTTTAGATGTCTCAGCCTAACTCTCACTTTCATGGATGCTTTCCTGGAGGCTAAATATGGCTTGGTTCTTTCTCTTTTAGCTTTCATTACATCTCACATTTCCTCCTCATAGCATATATTATAGTTGTGATTAAATAAGTAACTATATTATTGTCAACATAAATAACAGGAAAAATCTCTACAAGAAAAATGATGTTTATTTGGGAGTAGGCATTGCAATGGGAATATTCATGCTGTAGTATAGTAAACTATTTGTGTGTTCAGGGAAGTAAAGGAAGACAAGACAAGGCTTTTTTTCTTTTTTAAGATTACTGAATCATTTTGAGATAATTATCCTTGGTTATAAGTATTAATATCAATAAAGGTGTCACCAATACACATTTGGATAGGCAGTTGCTGGGCAGATGTCTTTGCAGAACTTGCGTGTGTTTGTGTGTGTGTGTGTGTGTGTGTGTGTGTGTGTAAGCTGGTGAATGCCTTTGGGCAAGACTCTGGTTTTTATAGTCGTTTTGTGATAGTTCTTGTTGTCAGGCATGAGAATCCTCTTTAGGACCTTCCCTGCTACTTTTTTTTTCAGAGTTTCTTTCTTTTTTTCCTCACTAGTTTCTCCTGGGAAATTGTCAGGGTTTTTAACATAAGTAACTCCATATTTATTCTTACAACATTCATATTATTAATACTTGAATATCAGTGACCCCTCATAAATGTAAATTTATTAAGGGTAGTTTCTTTCCTTTGGTTCACTGCTCTGTCCTCTGTAGCAGAGTGAGTGCTGTATTTCCTGCCTCTAACCGTATAGTTGATGACCTCCAAATAGTTATTAACCGTAATTATTTATAATGATACTTTTTTCTTATTGGAAGGGAAAGTTTTATCAGATTTAGAGATGAGGGGATGGCTGGGGGCCCGGATAGAGGTGTTGATGATTTTAGCTGATGTCTGTTGGAGAAAACAAAGAATTCCCTAATAGTCGTATCCATCCATGGAAAACAAAATGATAGATGGGAGAGATCATAAGCTAATTCCTTTAGAAATGGGCTAGTGCTTGGTCTAGAAATAAACTATCTGTAGTTACTAAAAGTAGGGTGATGAGTAATAGGTAGGATAGGATGGGGGCTGGGGAAGCTAGAGGTAAAAGCTGAGTGGAGAACCTATGGAGAGAATGACATCTGGGCCATGCCTGATTGGCTGCAAAGGAATCAATGAAGTTATTTTGATTAAGAAAAGAAAACTGCCATAGCAGAAGAGATCCCAAGAGCCAAGAACAGAGTAAAGGCCTCAATTACTCATGGGCTGAAGGAGTGAAATTGAGCGAGGTTCAGAGTCGAGGAGAGAATTTGTCTCAAATTCCGGACTAAGACACAATGAGGCCAAAAGTATAGACTTGAGGTGAGGTAATTATGAAAATTGAAGGGATGGAGATACTCAAGACTGGGCATCTGAGATGAACCCCAGGACACTGCAGGACTGCAGGAGTTTTAATGACCATACCACAACTGCTGGCAATGTCTCTGACTCTGATCTTTCTAATGGAGAACAGTGTAATTTGGGCATGACAAGGAGAGAGCAAGATCTGGTGTAGGCTCAACACAGCACACTCTGGTGGTCAGAGCAGAGATGAGTATTTTATCAGAGCACTCACCTCAGTTAACCCTCTTGGATCCTATACCAATCTCAAAGGAGAATATTGTGTGACATGCTAGGATATGCTGATATCCTGATGAATCTGTGGCAAATTTTTTATATAATGGAAGCTGACCCTTTTTTGCTTTCTATATTCATAACCTTCCTCATAGTGGGCTTTTTTTTTTTTAAATTTACTGGATCTCTCAAGCTGCCCTAAACTAGTGCTTTTTTAAAATAAGCATGTGAATTGCCTGCAAAGCTTGTTATACTCCAGTTGTTACTCTCCCCAGCACTCAGAATTTTGGGTTCAATAGGTCTGGATGTGTTATCTGCTACGCCAATTGATATGTCCATTAGGTTCAGGCACCTATGTGTGCTTACTCAGTAAGGTTTCACAGTGACTCAATAGCCAATTATATATACATGAATTTGCAGTTTATTGTGAGGCTTTCACACACAGTCAATCATGCAATTAATACTCAACACACAGCCAATAATAACATAGTGCTAATAAACCACAGGGCTCAAGGGACCAACACACCAATAGATTAATCGAGTGGGTCCAGAAAACCTTAAGATACCGGTAGTAGTAGGAGGTCACTGCTTCTCCCAAGTAGAAGTTCTGGTGGCAGCTGTCAATATGAGAGAAGCTCTCAGAGTTCCGGGCAGACCCTCCTAAGGCCTCTCAAAAAAAAACAAAAACAAAAAAACAAACAAAAAACCCTTGTCCTGGTTTTTATGATTCTCCCAGATGGGTCTATTTTCATTATCTCAACCACCTTTCCCTTTTGTCAGTTCCTTTGAAGTCTCCCATGGTACACAGCAAAAGCAGGTGTTACTTTCCTAACTCAGTCTATTACATATATGTTTATCACTTTGAGGGAGTCACTGTGGGCTCAATGCTTCTTGACGTGAGTGACTCCATTTTGAGATACTAGGTTCACAAATTGTTGTGATATATTAAGGTGGGGCTCAGTAATTTGCATTTTTAACAAGTTCCCAATCTATGCTCATGTTGTTGGCCCAGGCCACATTTTGAGAACAACTATTTTAAACCTTCAATCCTACTATTCTATCCAAATTTGTCATGCCTAAGGCCAAAAGCCTATTTAAGTAACATCAGATGATGCCCCTAATCTGAAACACATACATTAAAATTGAAACAATTTTAGGGCATCTCAAACTTGGCAAAATGTAGTCATCTATTGAAATGTCTACAAATAAGTGAATGACTGATATGTACAACAATTTATCTGGCTTCATTCCATTTTTAAACAGTAAGAACTATGTTTAAGTGAGATAAGTCTAATGAGAAGACCCTCAGGAAATGTCATTAAATGAAAAGGGAAATTTCTAAATTGTGAGGAAGGATTTTCCTGGTTAGGATGTTGACATATTTGGCACAATAAAATTATTTTTGTTTTATTTTCCACTGCAGAGTCCCGATAAGTAAGCAAAAACAAGGAAGGGGCCCCAGATAGGGTAGAACAATTGTTCTAAGAGATGACTAATCACAGACTGACTGCTGGCACAACCTCCTGTTCCCGAATACCTTGTTCATATGAAGCTCCAGCAGCAGAACCTTGACCTCACTCTGCACATAGCCCCTTCAACATGACCCTATAAAACTTCCGGTTAACCTCTGTCTCTTTGCAGATAGCACCTTCTCTGCTGTGCTGCCTGTTGCACTCTTGCAATATATCTCTTTGAGTACAACTGTTTTGGTAAGTTCTTTTTAGCACCCACATTGCTGACCTCACCCAATCCACCTGCAATACTAACTTCCACTTCTGAATCCACAAATCTCCTAGTTTTCTCTTTTTCCAACTTTACCATTTCATTTATAGCAATTCTTGTTTTTGTTATTTTTAATTTTTTTTTATTTCAATAAGTTTTTGGGGAACAGGTGGTGTTTGGTTACATGAGTAAGTTCTTTAGTGGTGATTTCAGTGCACCTATCACTGAGCAGTGTACACTTTACCCAATGTGTACTCTTTTATCCCCCCCCCCCACTCTTTCCCTGACTCCCCAAAGTCTAATGTATCATTCTTATGCCTGTCCTCATAGCTTAGCTCCTACTTACGAGTGAGAACATTAGATGTTTGTTTTTCCATTCCTGAGTCAATTCACTTAATCATAGTCTTCCAATTACATCCAGATTGATGGGAATGCCATTATTTCATTTCTTTTTATGGATGAGTAGTATTCTATGGTGTGAGTATGTGTGTGTGTACTACATATTTTTATCCATTTGTTGATGGCATTTGGGCTGGGTATATATTTTTGCAATTGCAAATTGTGCTGCTATAAACATGTGTGTGCACGTATCTTTTTCATATAATGACTTCTTTCCTTCTGGGTAGATACCTAGTAGTGGGATTGCTGGATCAAATGGTAGATCTAGATTTCTTTAAGGAATCTCCACGCAGTTTTCCATAGTGGTTGTACTTATTTACATTCCCACAAACAGTGCAAAAGTGTTCCCTTTTTACCACATCCATGCCATCATCTGTTTTGTTTATTTTTTTGATTATGGCCATTCTGGCAGGGGTGAGGTGAAAACAGGTGTTGAAATGGGAATTGTGTGCCTAAAGAAGAGGAAGGAGTCTGGATACACAGGTAAATTTTGTAAGCTGGAAACTACCGGTTTCATATATTTTGTTCATCACCCAAAAAATTGCAATATCAGTTAAGGTTTGTCTTTCATTGTCTCCCCAAGTGTAAGCATATTCCATTGTTTAATAGTGTCTGTGTAAGAAGCATTAATTTTTTTCAAGGATAATTTTTCAATATGGCACCTGTTCAAAAACTAAATTAGACTCTGAGACTGCAGTATTACTTCCTCTTACATCACACAGCATTTCAACGAAAATGCACAAGAATGCTTCCATTGGCAGAAGTTATATATACATTTTTCGTAGTGTCCTGTTTAGGCAATTTTTAAAATAACAGTAGAGGCGTTAATTGCTATAGTTACCTCAAAGGCAAAATCTCAACTTAAATCCAATGGCTTGGCTTTGCATCTTGATATAAGTCTTAGGGCAAATAATCTAAAGCCAAAATATGATCACAAACTATTATTTTGCATTTTAGCCTATATTAGGGAGACATAATAAAGTCCACTGGAAGATGAGCTATGGAAACACTCTTAAAAGCTGTCAGTCTTATGTGCTCACTGATCTTTGAAAGAGGCGAGATATATATATATTTTGGTAGACGAAGTCTTGCTCTACTGACCAGACTGGAGTGCAGTGGTGCAATCTTGGCTCACTGCAACCTCTGCCTCCCTGGTTCAAGCCATTCTCCTGCCTCAGCCTCCTGAGTAGCTGGGGTTACAGGCATGTGCCATCACACCCAGCTAATTTTTGCATTTTTAGCAGAGACAGGGTTTCACCATGTTGGTCAAGCTGTTCTCAAACTCCTGATCAATAGGCCTTGTATTTTTAAGAGAGTAAATGTATTTTTAGAATTCAGAGCTTCTCAGTTTTCTTACTCAAAAAGTGTTTTTAAGGATTTAAAATCCAGTAAGCATTCAGTGGATATGTTTTATGTTTTGTCTTCCCTTTAACCGCAAATAGAAAAGAGATTCTCCTGTATGTCACTCAGCAATTCTTTAGCCAAGATATCTCCAACCATATTACAATAGACATGGTAATATCATAGCTTTTACCAGCTTGTAAAAACCCATAGTATTTAGAAAATAAAAGGATATTCAAATTGCTCCTTTAAATTCAAACTGTATCCACTTATATATATCACCTTTGAGAATATTTCTTATATTAGAAGTAAGGGAGATTTTGAAATTAAGATTCATAGCCATTTATTATTATCCTTACCCATATGAACAAAAGTAGGAAAACTGGGTCTTTTATTCTATTTCAATCTTACAATTTGATTACTGTGATAGTGGATTTCCTTAGCAGGTTTTGTTCAGCATCATATTGGACCTTTTTGCACAAGATTTCTTTACATTGTTCTCACAGTTTGGTCACTTTACAATATGTTATACTTACCAATATTAATATGTAATAATGAATAAACTTCAGGCTGCACACGAGGAGCATATCATCTTTGTAGATTGAATTGCAGTAAAGATTTTCCAAATGCGAGAATTGAGTCCATTTGAAACCAAGCATAGAAAGGTTTCGAGCCTCATATTTCTTTAATGGATCCTTTTTCACTTTTTGACCAAAAAGTTTATTTTCATAAAATGACTCCTAGGCAATTGCTACAACTGTTATACAGATATTCAGGTACTCCTTCAGCTACTTCAGTTTGCCCAGTTACTCCTTCTGCTACTGTAGCTACTTTGCCAGACCCAGCTTCTCTAATCACTTATTCTGTCTGACCCATCTACTCGATCATAGGTCTCTACAGCTGTCCTAGCTACTTCAATTAAACAAGATGCTGTGGTGAACTAAGCTTCTCTTTCTAGTGATGCCACTCTTCTTTCAGATGCACATTCCCTTCTTCAATTAGCCCAACTACTCTGACTGAACCAACTATGCCTAACGAATTCAACTATTCTCATCTTCAAGGCCAGTATTTTTGTTTCTCAAAGTCTATTTTTACCCTTTATGACCCTCATATTTCATCTATTTATTTTCATATCTCATCTTCTCTTTGAATGCCTTAAAACTGGAGTAGGCATCTTGCCCCAAGAATTTCTATTTCCTCTATAGGCTTAGGACTTATGTATTCATCCTTACTTTGTCCAGTTTGGTAGAATGTGGTTGGAGCTCCTATTCTCATTTCTTATTTATGCTTCTGGCTTCACCCTATTCAGATCCCTATGTTCTTTCTCTTCTTTCAGAAATGTAGTTTCTGCCCTACTCCCCTCAAAAACTAAAAGAAAAAAAATTAGCAGTAGGACCCTATTTCCACCTAAAATCTTACATGAATCCATGAAATTAAAAAATCAAATTAAAAGTATTAATGCTCTGATAGTACGTCTTACACCTCTTGACTTCCTATTTTTTTTCTCCACAAATTAGTGCATAGGGCAGAAGTACAGAACATAATTTGAAAATCGATGACCCAGCACAGGAGTTTGCAAACTATACGTAATGGTTTAAATTTAGGCCACTGCCTGTTTTTGCACAGCCTTTGAGCTAAGGCTAACTGTAGCTAGGCTTTTAAATGGTTGGAAAAATAAAATGAGTATTTCTTGACATGTAAAGAGTATTGTTAATACTTCAGAGTCTGTGAATGAAGATGTATTGAAATACAGTCAGCTCATTTGCTTATGTATGACTTACAGCATTGGAGTTGCAGACACCCTGTGGCCCACAATGCCTAAAACATTTACTATCTGTTCATGTGTAGAAAAATGTTGTCAGATACTGTTGTTGAATATGGGCTCTGACAGTTGTTCATGCCTAGAAATCATAGTGCACTTCAGGAAATATAATGACATACAACTATTTTCAACCTTAAGTAACTAAAAAAAATAAGGAAGAAATTATCTTTTCTAGTACATGTAACATTGTGAAACCAAAGGCTTAAGAAATATCTGTAGGGAAGAATGTAAGAGCTTAAAGTTAAGGAAAATACATATATTTTTATACTTCAGAGAAGAAAGCACCATTATTCAATTTTATCAGCAGACATACTTTTGTCCAGTTCATTGAATACCAGTATTTTGAAGGCACATCATTACAGAAATTCTGAACCAAGGGCTCCTGGTATTGACCTTCAACCCATTTTCTGACTCAGCTCTAATAGGGGCCAGAAAAATATCCCAACTTATTTCACCTGTCAACTCCATCGTGCCTAAGGCTGACAGAATGCTCATGCTCCACGTTAATCCAAACCCTCTTTCAATCGGTGCTTGGTTAGTTTGAGAGAAATATAGCCAAACTGGAATTTATGTTGGAAATTAATACCTTTAACAAATCTAGAAAATGTTGATTCAGATAATATTTGAGATGATTTTTTAAAAAATAGGAGGCATTTTGACTTAGTGGAAATTGGAATTGGAGTAATAATTTAGATGGAAGGTATAGTTTGAACAGAAACCTATAGGTGGAAGAATATGATATGTATTTGAGAAATACATGTATTTCCAAGTGATTAAAATGAAGGGTACATATTAATTTGAACATATAGGTTTAAATTATGTGAACCTTCTTGATTGTGAAAATAATTTGGTAAAGCAGTTGGAGAACCTCTCTCTCTTTTTTTTTTTTTTTTTTTTAAGGCAGTAGAGGGATCTGATTAGACTGGTGCTTTAAAATTGCAATTTTTAATCTAGAGGAAATGGATAAATTCCTGGAAACACACTATCTCAAGATGGCATCTAAGAAGAAATTGAAACCCTGAACAGACCAATATTGCATTCTAAATTTGAATCACTAATACAAAACCTACTAACCAAAATAACCCCATACTAAATGGACTCACAGCCTAATTCCACCAGACATACAAAGAAGGCCTGGTATCATTTCTACTCAAACTCTTCCACAAAACTGAGGAGGAGGGACCCCTCTCTGACTCATTCCACAAAGCCAGTATCAGCCCAATACCAAAACCTGGCAAAGACACAATAAAAAAAGGAAAAGTACAAGTCAATATCCCTGATTAATGTGGATGCAAAAATCCTCAAAACACTAGCAAACCAAATCCAGCAGCATATCAAAAAGTTAAATCACCATGATAAAGTAGGCTTCCTTCCTCAGATGCAAGGATGGTTCATCATATACAAATTAATAAATGGATTTACCACATAAACAGAATTAAAAGGAAAAACCATATGATGATCTTAATAGACACAGAAAAATCCTTAAATAAAATCCAACATCCCTCCATAATAAGAACCCTCAACAAATTCTGCCTCAAAGGAACATACTTCATAATAATAGGGGCCACCCATGACAAACCCACAGCCAATATCATATTGAATGGGCAAAAGCTAGAAGAATTCCCCTTGAGAACTGGATGAAGACAAAAATGCCCACTTTTATCCTTGAAGCGAGGGGATCACTTGAGCCCGGGAAGTTGAGGTTGCTGTGAACTGTGATCATGCCACTATACTTCAGCTTGGGTGATGGAGCAAGACCTTGTCTAAAAAAAAAAAAAAAAAAAAAAAAAAAACAAAGTCAAAAAAACAACAGATGCTGGCAAAGCTGTGGAGAAAAAGAAACACTTAAATACTATTGGTGGGAGTGCAACTTAGTTTAGCCACTGTGAAAAGCAGGTTAGAGATTTCTCGAAGAACTTAAAAAACAGACTGTCATTTGACCTAGCAATCCTCTTAATGGATATATCTCCAAAAGAAAATACATCACTCTACCACAAGGTCAGGAGTTCAAGACCAGCCTGGCCAAGATGGTGAAACCCCGTCTCTACTAAAAATACACAAAATTAGCTGGGCGAGGTGGTGGGTGCCTGTAGTCCCAGCTACCCTGGAGGCTGAAGGAGAGACTTGCTTAACCTGGAGGGGCAGAGGTTGCAGTGATCCAAGATAATACAACTGCACTCCAGCCTGGGCAACCGAGTGAGACTCCATCTCAAAAAAAAAAAAAAAAATGTACTTGCATGTTCATGTTCATTGCAGCACTATTCACGATACATCCCCGGTGGACTGGACTGGACAAAGAAAATGTGTTATATATACACCATGGAATACTACACAGCCATAAAAGAATGAAATCATGTCCTCTGTAGCAACATGGATGCAGCTGGAGGACATTACCCTAAGTGAATTAGCGCAGGAACAGAAAATCGAATACTGCATGTTCTCACTTATAAGTGGGACCCAAACACTGAGTACACATGGACATAAAGATGGAAACAGTAGATATTGGGGACTACTGGTAGTGGAGAGGGAAAGAAAACTACTACTGTGGCTGGAAATGGAAAACTAACTTTTGGGCAGTATGCTCAGTAACTGGGTGATGGGATGAATAGTACCCAAAACCTCAGCATCATGCCATATACCCAGATCACAAACCTGCACATGTACCCTGTGAACTGAATCTAAAATAAATATCGAAATTAAAGTAAGAATTAACATTGGTAAAAACAGTAAACTTTAAAAAAAATTGCAATTTCTTAAGTGTCGTGCACATAGCCAAGGTTTGGACAAAGTAATCTATTGGGATATTGAAGAAAATGTTAGAATTTATATTTGTAATCTACAATATTAAAATAACAAGATTTTTAGTGGTAAATATGTGAGTTGATTTGGCACAGGGATTTGGTCTGTGTGAAAC